TTTTAATGGAATGCAAAATGGAAGCATTTATGATGAAGAAATGTAAATATGTCCTTTATGCCAAGGACTGTTGTGCTGCAAAATTTAAATGAACTCTATATTACAGTTTTTTCAGCAAATCTGAGATGAGCACAGTGAGACCAAAAAGGAACAAGAAACAAATTGCACACCAATAAAGATCTCAGGATCCAGCCATCACGGTGTGTATGCAGTTGTTTCCACCAGTTGTTTCTATCAGCATAATATTTTTCTTTACACTGTCTCCTTCAAGTACTAGTAAAAACTATCGGTCTACAGCAACCAATAAGTGGTGTATATTCTATCAACATTTACCCTGCGCATGTTATTTCCAGTTTAATTTAGAGAAAATACAAAGGCAAGGCAGTGACCATTACCGACAAGAGGGGAAAAAGACAATACCAGTATGCAACATATATTATATCCTGGAAATACCACAGACCCGCTGTGGGAGATTACAGGGTAATCCTTACTTGTATTTAGAAATCACAGATAAATTTATCTACCTCTATAGGACCATATACAAGTTTACTTTCCTAGATGTGGGTCACAAATTAGAGGACAGGGGACAGGCCATCTTCCACTCACTCAATATTATTTTGTCAGCATTTGTATCTCTACTGATTTGATATTACTATATTATATACTAATGCTACCATTAACTGGAAAGATTTCTTCTGACTAGTGGCAGTACTCGTCATATAACCTGTTTAGCTACATAATTAAAATACGTGTAAACTGAAAAGCAACTTTTTGTTCTTATTATAAATGTGTATTTTATACTTTCCAATAAAGATGTGTATTTACAGCTTTTTCTTACTTTTGTGCACGGATATGGCGTTGAAGGAAAGTAATTTTCTTTGCACATTTATGTACCGGTACATATGGTAGAAGTTGGATGGGTTGTACTATTTCAGTGGATGTGCTATGTAAAGCTCTGTAAAATCATTTTATTGAATTAAGAAAACCTAATATACAAGCGCATTTACTCAATCTTTATTATGACCACTAACTGTTGAACTCAAAATTCACAAAAATATCCAAATACAGCAGTTTTACATCAACTATAAGATTACATTGAGCTGAGTGACTAGTTTTCTGTTTTCTTCTTTAGTTTCAACTGGTCATGCTTACCCTCGATGGAAGGGTCATCTGTGAACAAAAAAACATTGTTATTATAAACTATTAAATAATTAACCATTGTATTTAACTGATCATTTACAGCACGATGTTCATTTTTTTTCTATTTACTTATTTGAACGCACATTATATAGCTTGAATTAGACTTTATCACAAAATTGAATGGAAATAAACGCCACATATTACAATCAGAGTATGTGGCATACAAACGTACAGCCTGGTTCTCTAATTCTCCTTCCATCCCCCTCCCTCCTCTCTCTCTCTATCTCTCTCTCTTTAATAGAATTTACAAGAACGTCCATCTTGTTATTTTTTTCGGGCTCTAAATTAATAACTTTGGTCAAACTGTATTTGCTTTTAAAAAGCTGTTGTGTGGTGGTGTTTTTACAAGCCATTAATATACTCTCATGATTTCTCACAACAATATCACCAAATTGATTTGTAGAATTTACTAATCAGTTTATCAGCCTCAGCCTTGGACAATAATCAACATTATTTATGTGTAACATGTAGCTAGTCTAAAATGTAGCAATTATTTGTGAAAACACTGCTATGAACAATCTAATCACAACACAATTTACCTTATGTGATCTAATCAATTATCGGACAGTGGCAGTTGGGTGGGCCTCCAAGGCACCTGTAATAATTGTTTTCGGCACAACACAAGTGACCACAGCAGAAGTACGTATTTGTTCTACATTGCCCGGATGTATCTATATAAAAATACAAATGGCAAAATTATGCATCTTTTCAAAAGACCAGAGGAATATATCTTACTTAAATGTCCTAGATGGTAGTGATATAAATAAACAGAGAAGAACCAAAATTTCTTGTTCATTCCCATTTGTTCAATTTCATTCTTTGAAACAAGTGATCAGAGCAGATGCAAATGTTACATGGCTAGGTTGCTTGGATGTTTCTGTATAAAATATAATTAAATGGCAACGATGAGCATGTTACTCAACAACCATTTGTGTTTATTTTGAGTGAAATTTCTAAATCTAAAGGTAAGTGAAGTAAAGTAATACAGCGGAACAAAATAGCCATGTTGTTTTCAATTTTGCTACGGAATGGTACCATTAATTTGCGGCATCATCGAGGCCCTTTCTAAACTCCAATTACATTTTCCTGTATGAGATACTGTGGAATTTTTCACAATTATTTGTTGTAAGTGTTAGTTTTAAGCTTATTTTTGAGAGTGATCAACAAAGATCTACTGTGGAAAAGAGACCCTTGAAATCGTTTTGAATGTATATTAGATATATTTTAACTTACGTCAACAGTGACAAGATAAGTTATAGAAATGCAAATACATATAAACATTACAATTATTTTATAATACTCCAGACATTGAAAGACATTTTTGCTCTGTTTATTTTTTACATGAAAACTTTTGTGGCGAAGAGAATCACAGGGATACTGGACGAAAGGGGCAAGTAAAGATAATTACGTGATAAGGATGATAAATTATACATGTAATAACGCCGTGAAAATTAACTGAAAAGAAAGATGTAATTATTAAAGGTGGGCGCTTGATATATCACATACAGTTTTAAAACGAAGGAATGACAAATTTCTAAGCACTCACAACAGCCTATCTGCACATTTTGAATTGCTGATCACCGCCACTTCATTCCGTTGGATGCTAAATTCAATAAATAATATTTTCCTAAATTTAAGTATATCTTATTAGATATGTTTCTAACTACGGCCTCTGTAAGTCAGGTTTTGATATATCAACGTAAAATTTCTAAATCAATCTCTACTAAGCCGAGATATATCCTCTGCCTGAAGCTTGCACTCAACTGTGAGTTTATTTCTATACTTTGCTTCAGAATTTACTGTTTATAACACCTTAAGTGCATGGTATCGCTCACCTTCTATAGCAAAAGTGGCAAAGAGCACCAAGAGCACAAGAAGTGCGCAGGACTTCATTGTTCCCATGGATGTTTTCCTAGCAGGAGACTTAATAAGTTTTCAACTATAAGATTTGCAACCCGAGCCGCTATTATACGTTTCTGTGCAAACAAATTCCTATCAATCCAGTAAACACAGAATAACATTGTCATGAAATATGGTCCCAGCAAGGTATTTTCTGTTTCAAACTTTTCCTTAATCATTTATACACGGTGTTACGTAAGAAAACCATTATCATTTGTCAGAGCGACGTCTAAAAGCAGAAGCGCTCTCTCATATTTTTTTCTTTTTCTCCTTTTTTTTTATTTTCTATCCTAAACAATTTCGAAAACATTACCATCGTCTGTAGTGGTAAAATTCCAAATAAATTGCATACAAGTGATAATCACAATTTAATTTAATTTCTTTGCTTTATTATTTTAATTTTAAGTCTGAAAGGGGAACCTAACTCTCTAATATGAAACTGCTACTCATAAGATAAAAGCACACAAAGATGCATTTGCAATAGACCGGTCATATTCATATCTTTCGTACTACATCTAGAAGGATTTGCATTTACCTCAAACTACATATCGATTATTCATTTATATAAATATATATCTTAACCATTTTTATCTATAAACTTCTTTGTATTTTATGTTGTACAGTCTATTGAATATTTTATGGATTTTAGACTTGAAATAAATATATTATTATATTATTATTATTATTATTATTCAGAAACTTAATAATTGTTGTTTTTAGTTTTTATTTTTCTCATAACTTACAATTTTGGGATTTTAGTTTTCACTATATTTCATTCCTTATCTTATTGAAAATAGACCCCTGGATATTGGAAAAAATCAGATCGTTCCACAATGTTTTATCTTTAAATTGCAAAAGAGAATATTCACAGCATTTGTAAAATACGCTTAAAACTTCCAAAATTCAGATAATCCACTCCAGTTTCCATCTGTATTCTCTCTGTTATGAGGCAAAAAAAATTATCAGTCTCCAACAAGGACACATACAGAATGATATATGGTCCCAGCAATGTATTTTCTCTTTCAAACATTTCCTTTATCATTATTACACAATTGAACGTAAGAAATTCATTAAAATTTGTTAAAGCGGTCTCTAGTGACAAGTATTATCTGCTTGATCAAAGTCCTTTCTATTCAGTGCAATCTACGAGCATATTTATATCTTCATTTCTTTTCTCTACAAGCGTGCATACTTCCTTCCAACTTTAATACACACGGAATAATTTCAAAATTGAAAAAATAAATGTTCGTCATTACAGTAAAATTGACACTGACACAAAATGATAATTTTACTACGGTTTATTCTTAACCCTCAGGCGACCAAGCTATTTTACTGACTGAAATGACCAAGTGGGGTACGTCATATATGACCCCATTGTGCTCTGTACAGGGATCCTTATTATAAAAGGCTGGTCGGAGGCTTATCACACCTATACTGCTCCCAGCATTTAAGAAAGGTATTTTATAATGATCTAATGTAATAGGTATTTGGTAATAATAGTTTTATTGCAAGAAATAACCAAACACGGATTTAAAGAATATCATTATTTAGACAGTCCCTGTCAGTTTCCACTTGCAGAAATATTTCTTTTTGCCACACTAAATGAAAAATGCACTAAATAGAAAATAAATTTGAGTACAAAAAACGTCTTGTGTTGAACTAGCATCCTGCTAACATCAATAAAAATAAAATATGAGCTGACTTGCTGACTAGGGAATACGGTAATTAATACTGATAAGGAAGTCATCCTACTCAGAACACATTCATTCAACCTATGTTACTACCACACCTGTGTATAAAACAAAAACCACACAAACATCTTGTTTGTATATGTGTTATATGAAATCGAAATCGTTAAAAACCAAAACTTATTTTCGGGGTCATTAATGACCCCACAAAGGTTTTTAATGTACATGTATAATCCACACTAATTGGTTGATCCGTGCAAAAAAAATGTGGAAGTGTGTAGGATTAGTAGACTGACAAACTCATACTAGGAAAGAAAATTCAGATACAAAATAAAGAGATGGTACATTAAATCATATGGCTGGGGTCGTAAATGACCCCACACGGTCACTTGAGGGTTAAACATCTGCTCTTGATTGGCGAGGAGGATGTTACTTTCTAGCAAATGAATCTACTGCATGCATGATAAACAAAAATACGAATTGAATGGAATTTAGTCATGCTAATTATCTGTCATCATAATATTATTGTGTTCTAAATCCGAGGTGGTATGTAGGTAATTAAGTTTCTAAATTTCAAAGAAAAGTTATACATATTTAACAATTATAAAGCCAAACGTCACCCTCGGTGGAAATTTCAGCAGATATGCCTTTAATCGATCACCAACGTGACTTCATAATTTATTAACCTGTTTTCAACTTATAAATATCCATGTTTCCCCATTTCATTTACAAAATATAAAACAAGTCTGGGATTTATGGAAAAGTTTTGAAATTTCCGGTAAAATAACTTTTCTCATATATAAATCAAGGTTTAACGTTTAACTTAAATCTAATGTGTTTGTTTACAAATGATCATCTCACATCTGTTAACCATTTTCACCAGTGATTTTATCCTATGTGTCACATTTTACATGACTCATGGCAATTAAATACAAACTATCAGTGAAGATAGGAAGCTTGAATTTTTAGTTCTTTTCTATTTTTTTTATCCATTTAATAATTGACAGAACATTTTGTCTGGTTGCTAGATATAAATGCCGCATCGTTAATAGTATATGCTTATAATTGAGAATTCTAGGTCTACTTTGACCACAGATGTATCAGTAGCACTTCCATTTAATGAATAATTGAATCCTTATTGTCACAAAATGCTTATTGTTTAGAACAATGATTTCATTTTTTAAGTGGACTTGAATAAATTCATTTGAAACCGAATTTTACAGTATTTGGGTCTCTTAGTTTATTATTACTTTATTCAATATTGTTATCTTTATTTTTTTAATTTAATCTTATTTGAAACCAGAAAGAAAACCTGATCGTAAGGCAATGCATTGTCTTTCATTTTAAATCTAGAAGATTCACCAACTATGTTTATTGGTGAAAAACTGATCCCCGGATCAGATAGATCAACTTAGTTGTGAAGAGAGTTTCAGTTTTAAGAAAGGGTTGCACACAGCTGGTATAGTACTTTGATTGTGTATGTTCGTCCTCTTTTAATTTATCTATGTATTTCGTATTCTATCTAGTTATTACCAGTATTACATATACAACAGTGGGGGATCTCATGCTTATTTCTATGCAGTTTCACTCGCTACCCCATCGGAAAGGGCTGATGTGCACACATTTTTCCCTACCAATTACCTGTGTAAACCTATGTCACTATACTCTATCACTATATTGCTATTCATTTAATCTATAATTACCAGCACGTGCTGGATTTCTGCTCAGATTAAAGGGATAATAACTCTTCGATTCGGCCAAAAAATGAATTTTCCTGGAGTAAACAACAATTTCCCCATACTCAATGGTTAATGAATCCATTTTTACATTCAAAGTAAGTCTGTTTTTTTCTAAAAAGTTTGTTTTTTGTTAAAATCTCTTTAAGAGATTTTAATAGAGTATAGCCATCAATGGAGGTCACGTGGTCTAAAGACAAGCTCAGATATCAGAAAAATAGCTATAACTGCCGTTTTTGTGGTAAAACAGAATATATTGTATTTCTATGTGTTATTCACAATGTTTTTATTGTGAAATATAGATCTCATACGAAGAGTTATTATCCCTTTAACATATGTTTCTTTGAAAGGGGCTACTTGTATTTCTTTCGGTTTCCCCCCAATTAGAGCAAATTACATACATAATTTTATGACTTAAGTGCAGAAATGTTGTTGAAGTCAATAATGGAGGTTTCGAAATAAACGCCAAATATGACAGAGTAAATGACATACACACGTACAACCTGGTTTTCCTTCCACCTCACCTTCCCTCCCCCACCTTTTATCTCTCTCTTTAATAGATTTTACAAGACCGTCCATCTCATTATTTTTTTCCGGTCTCTCAACTAATAACTTTGGGCAAACTGTATTTTCTATTATAAAGTTTTCTTTGGTGGTGTTTTTACAAGCCATTAATACATTCTTATGATTTCTCACAACAATATCACCAAATTGATTTGCAGAATTAACTAATCGGTTCAGTAGTCTAAGGTTTGGACAATAATCAACATTTTTATGTGTAACTTGTAGCTGGCCTTAATGTATTTGTGAAAACACTGCTGTGAACAATCTCATCACAACATCACACAGTTGTGTTATCAACTGCAAGACAGTAGCAGTGGGGTGGCCTTCCGCCGAACCTGCAACTCCCATGGTCGCTGCTACCAGTGTGACCACAGCATTCGCACGAAGCACGCGCTACAATTTGCCCGGCTGTGTACACTTTGCCCTGCTGATCCTATATCAAAATTAAAAAAATTAAAATATAAACTCGTTACTGAAAGTCCATATGCCTCACAAAATGCGATTAAAAACCTACGGTGATATATCTTTTAAAGCTGCATGGAATCCATTACCGCTCGAAATCCGAGCAATTCAGTCTACCAAACATTTTAAAAAAGAACTCAAAACATACTTTTTTAGGAAATATTTTGATTAACTCTTAATCGGTTTTATAAATCGTGTATTAATTGCATTTAATTGTATGGAATAATGGTTGTTGTACCCAGATTTTATTTATGATATTTTATGTCGTATTATTTATGATATTTTATGTAAAGTCTACTGAACATTGTAAATGGATTTTAGACTTAAAATAAATTTATTATTATTATCATTATTATGAAAAAAATATAATTATTTATTTTGCGCGTAATTTCTCAATTCCCATGTTAATTGAAGAAAATAACACAGAGGACTTTAAATGTTGTGTTCTTTCTAATTTTGTGCCAGTAATGGGTGGCACCAGCTACGCCCTTTCTGAACTCCAAATACATTTACCTTGTCTAGATAAAATTCAATTTCTAACTGGTACGTGTTTATCGTGA